ATTAACCATTGTATCCTCAATACTCGGCACAGTGCTGGCCCAGAGCAGGCACTCAGGAAGTATTTGTTGAATGACTGAATGATGGAATCAGTGAAGAAGAGAGATTTGTGGCCATTAGTTGGGGAAGGGAGGGAATTTTGACTTTGAGTTTGAGTTAGGAAGTTGGAAACATGGGATTGATGAGATCAGTAATAGTTAATAACTAAATAATTTATTAACTTAAATTGAGTACATTTCCAATATCTGTTCTGATCAGTTCATTGATACATGTTTGGAGCCTGTATTTCATTATGCAGTGAAATAAAGAGTACTAATCGAAGTCTACTTAATAGGAAAGCAGAGAAGTCTTGTAACTCCCTCCATACTTACTACAGTGATTAGAGTTAAAAGCCCTTAAAACAGGAATGTGCTTTTATTCAGGGGCAGCAAGGACAGGGGTGCCCCAGAGGCGAATGCCGGCTGCTTTACAGCTCAGGGTGTCTTATAGCTACTCAAGGAGGAAGGAACAGCCAGAGTTCCTTCATGGTAGCTCTGCGCCTGGGTTTGGCTCTGGTTACCTTCCTTACCTTCCATTGCCCTCCTTTGATGTAGATAAGCAAATGGGGATGCAGTTCTCACAAGGCATTACATCCTGCCTACTTTACCTCTAGCTGTTGTTCTCTCATTTTCAGTGCTCTGAACACATTAATCTTTTTGCCTGTCTATTCTGCAAGCACACTAAGCTTATTCCTAACTCAGAATTTTTGTCCTTGCTGTTTCCCTTTCTGGCATGTTTTTTAAGTACAGTCATGAGTCACTTAACGTCCACGATACGTTCTGTAAAATAGGATGATACGTGATTTGGACATTGTGCGAACATCATATTATATACTTAGCAAGGCTATATGGGATACCTTTTGTTTCACTTCCAAACTGATACTTCTCCTTTGCCTCTTGCTCCTGCTATCACTGGCACTGGTTTTGCTATGTTTGGGAGCCATGACGCACTTCACGGTAATATTTTCAAAAGAATATTAAACAGAGAGATAATGCTACAACACTCAAGAGGTGGTGTGTTACACAAGATTGGATACTGCTGCCTACTAGTTGAAGCATATACTGTTATACAGTAGACTATTTGTAAGTAAGGAAAGTTCACATTAAAATAACAATAGAAAGTAGAGTACAGTACATACATAAGCCAGTAACATAGGCATTTATTATGACTATCAAGACGTATGCGCTATAGGTTATATATGTACAGTGCCATTATATGCCTGGCAGTGCAATTGCTTTGTATACAAGAGACATGAGATACATATGTTGCATGCGGGAAGCTGTTGCATTCACTACGTCAGGTTACGTCTGCTATGTCCCGTTCTCTGATGGGGATTTCTGAACTCTGTTATAACCTTATGGAACCATGGATGTATATGCGATTGGATGTTGCCTGAATGGATGTTATGCGGCGCATGACTGTACTGTTACCTAAAACCAATACCCCCCCTCATCTCTGCATCTTCTTTTTGTTCTTCATTTTTTTTTCAGAGCACCAATAACACCCTGGCATATATCAGTTTGATTTTTGTGTCTACATCACTAGAATGATGCATCATGAAGGCAGATGTGATACCCTGAGCATTGCCAGGCCCATAATAGGGACTCAGATATTTGAGGAAATTAATTGAGTAGATATTGCGATTTCTTTTAGACAAGATCAATCTGGGAAATAACCCCAGGATCAAATTGTGATTCTTTAGTGTGAGAACCAAGATGACCCTGTTTAGAGCATAATATTACATCTGAAACTACAGGATATATGTAAAGAAGAGATCCCATTTTGCGATGTGTTGGGGAGAGAATTTTTTAAACATTCTTTTGATCCAAAGGTTTACTTGTAAATTGGTTGCTTGGAATTGAGAGCATGTTTTCTAAAAAGGAATTCTTATATAAACCCAGAATAATACTTAACTCTAATTCAAGAAATTCAGGCACAGGTAGAGAGAATATTTTGTTAATTTCTACCCTTCCTTTTTCCAGAAAAGGTTTATTAGCTTAAAAAGAATCATTTATTCATCCAACAAATATTCAGTGACAACAAACATTTAAGGTCTACTGCTAAGCATCGGCAATGCAACATTGAGTAAGATAGGCACCATCTGTCTTCATAGCAGCCTAATTGTACAAGTAATTATTTAAAATTGTGCTAAGAGCTATAAAGGAAAAGTAAGAAAGGGGAGAAGGTGGTTCTCTGTAGGGAGACCATCCCTACCCACGAGTCCCCCTTCTTCTTGTTCTTGAATCACTGATTTTCTAGACATGTTGCAGGCACTAACCAGAGCCCCTGCAGTGGAAATTCCAACCTCCAGATAGGACAGGAGTGAAGGCCTGGACTGGGTGGTATCTGGATGGGTTGGTGTGGATTGAGGACCTCCTCTTGTAGTTGAATCCCATCGTAGTGTGAAGGATACTGAAATAAATAGGGGGAAAAAGAAGCTTTTCTCAGCTAGGTAAATGAGCCCAAATTAGAAATAGTAGGTTGGCCAAAAGCAGGTAAATAAATGCATAGGAATTTTCCTTTATATTCACAGGTGTTTCAGAAAAAATTTTAATCCAAGTAGTCTCCAGTTCACACTCAAGTCACAGATTTCCTGTAGGAATGACCATTCCTGCTTTTCCATACCCTGCTGACATTTCCCTGGAAGTTTGAGGGTTTTCGGGCAGAGGTTCTCAGATTATATTCCAGCAGAATGTTAACTGGAAACACAACAGTGGTTATGCACTTGGGCTCTAGAATGAGACAGACAAGCATTCAGATCCTGGCCTTGAGGAAGTTGTACAACTTCTCGAAGCCTCAGTTCCTTCCTCTGTGTACGTGTAGAGGGGTGAGAGGAGGGTTGTTTGGAGTAAACTCTATCACGCATGTAAGATAGCAGTGTCTTGCTCCGAGGAAGTGCTTAGTAAATATGAAGTGGTATTGGTGTTACTGGAAGAGTGCCTACAAGTGTCAGTTTAGATTAGCGGACACAAGGTCTTTTCAAAGTGCAGTGCTCTTGGGGAGGTTAAATGGTGTCAGGTCCTTTTAAATGTTTGGTTAGAGTCACATCTGAGAAAGGGGAAGAAAACTCCCTCTGACTCTGCTAAATGGTGGTAGGACTCATAACTCTGACTAGTATTTGTTAACAGTATTTAAATTATCAGTGTCATAAAATAATTATTATGTAGCATAGGAGACTAACCACCAATTTAGTACCCTTTCTCACCCTTTGGGAAAAAAAAATATTCACATATCCAAATATCCAGCTTATAGATTAAAAAATTTTGAATGAGGACGCTATTTAGAAGTGAGAAGCGTGTGTACTAAATTTAGTCACACCTTAACTAATTAAAAACACCTTGAGTCCATTTTCTGGGGGTGAATTTGGTACTTCTCCATTTCAGAAGACATTTAAATTGTGCTTGTGATACCATGGGGGGCAAAGTTGTCAGTCAAGCAGGGGAGAAGCATTTGTGTCTTCTGAAATGTAAGCACTGTTGGCCTTTCTCAGTCCAAGAAATGGCCCTCAGTCTGTAGATGTCCTCTCCTGTGCATTCCAACTCGAAACGAGCCACAGTGTGTGGTGAAAAAACCTTCCTAATGACATACTTGGAGTTCTGGTGGTGCGTTGGTTAAGCACGCAGCTGCTAACCATAGGGTCGGGGGTTTGAACCCACCAGCCGCTTCACGGGAAAAGATGTGGCAATCTGCTAACGTAAAGATACACAACCTTGGAAACCCTATAGGGCAATTCTACTCTGTCCCTCTATGGTCGTTATGAGTTGGAATCGACTCAACAGCGGTGGGTTTTGGTTTAATGACTTACTTGTTGCTTTGGGATTTATTTCTCTTGAAGTAGCCAATTGATAGTAAAAAAAAAAACTAAAATGCTAGGAGTCTGCAAATTTGGATGCTCTTGTTTCCTTGGTACACAGTGTTCTTAAAACTACAAGAGCTTCATTGTTTTGGGGTAAATTAACTTTTTTAGCTTAGAGTTTGCTTTTTGCCTTTGTAGATTCCCTTAAAAGTCCTTGAGAATGTTTCCCTTTGCGTGAAATACAACACTATCCATGACATTTGCGCTACAAAGCCCATCATTCTTAGCAGTGTCAGACATGATGTACACATCAGTTCTTTAGGATATGTGTGGCACTGGTTAATGGACTCTTGGTTTTCCTAATTTGAAAGTTATTTTCGAAATATCAGTCACTTTCTACCAGTTGGAGAAATCCCCCCTCCTATTTCCTGAGATACATTTCTTATAGTAATCTTACTTCTTAAGAATATGATGAATCCTAGCCTAAAATTTGATTAGCACATTGTACAAAAGTCTCTATTTCTTAGCAACCTTCTGACAGAGTGGTGGCTTTGCTGTTTAGTGACTTGATACATAGTGGTAAATTGCAGTTTCCTGGAAAGGTCACACCCCCAGTGAGGGACCAAAAGAAGTTATCATGTTCTTTGGGGAGGTGGGGGGGGGCTGGTATTTGAGCCCCAGTCAAGGGGGAATTGCTGCCAGAGGGTGAGAGCTTGGATGGAGAGTGGTTGGGTTGGTCAGAATGGCCTTTAACAATATGTGCCCAAAGTATTTAAGTATAAAGTGCTGATTTTTATTTTTCAAGTGTGCCATATGCTGATCGTAGCCTTTGATTTAAAAGTAAACGTGAGCTGTATTTTGCTGCCAGATTCTGTGAGAGTTTAAAGCAGTATGGAGACAGGGATTTACATATTTTGAAAATGGCTACAGGTGGCTGGAACAAAATAGATGAACACAGACATGCTTGAAGGTCGCAGTGGTTTCCTTTGGAGACTCACAAACAAGCCTCAGAGCCACTACTGAAATACTTGACATCATGGTTTTGGTTTGGCTTGCCAGCGTCAGGTTTCAGTTACGGTTTTGCGTATTTGCTTATTGGACCGGAAAATGAAACATTAACTGGTTTTTTTTCCTTTTGCTATGATCTTTCTGTTTCTTGACTTGCAGAACGCTACTGAGCCTGTGGCGGCCACCGAGACCCTGGCTGAGGTACCTGAAAATGTGCTTCGAGGACTTCCGGAGGAAGTGAGGCTGTTCCCTTCTGCTGTGGACAAGACCCGGATTGGTGAGTACCACGGTCAAGAGAGAGACAGGGGATGAGGAACAGGCTGCAGCAGGCTTCCTCTGGGGGTGTTTGAGGTAGGGAGTTCATTATACAAGCAACAGATTGATACTTTGGCTTGCAGGATTGCATGGTGTTTATGAATTTTTCCCATCAAGAATCCAGGGTGAACATAGATTATAAAAATAAAACTGGAAGTAAACACATTCACACCTCATCCATCATAATTCAGCTCAAATGTTCCCTTCCTCTCGGCCTCTTATTCTTCTCATAGAATATGTTGTTCTGTCCCCTTTGATTCCACTATGATCTTAGTGTGATTCCAGGTAGTCCCCAGGTTACGAACATCTGACTTACATACAACCCATAGGGAGGAACCAACCCCCGTCTCAACCAAAACCCACACGAACCAACCTCCGCCGTCTCAACCAAAACCCACTACCGTTGAGTCAGTTCCGACTCATAGTGACCACATAGGGTTTCCAAGGCTGTAAATCTCTGTGGAAGCAGACTGCCACATCTTTCTTCTGTGGAGCTGCTGGTGGTTTCAAACCACCAGTCTTTTGGTTAGCAGTCGAGCTGCTTTAACCACTGCACCACCAGGCTCCTTCCAACTCCCCCTCCCCCCAGTAGAGCCTATTATATTAACAATTCGAGGTACATACTATGGTTCGTAATAATAAATGGGCACTACTTTGCAGTGTGCATCAAAACATTATTACTGTATTATTATGTTAAAGATGTTTTAGTGCACCTGGAAGTGTTTCTTTAATGTTTTTTATGCCTGAAAAGGTACACTATATATACTATATACTAAGACAAACATTTGACTAACTGATGTTAGATATGAAAGTACCTAACTGTTCTGATTTACATAAAAATTTGACTTAAAGATAGATTTAGGAACGAACTTGTTCGTAGTCCGGGGACTGCCCGTATATTATTATGTTTACTTGGTTATTTGTAGTTGTTTTCATTGATTTTGAGTACCTTTGTTTCTTATTTATCTTTATATTAATAATACCTGACATTTTATAGACCCTTAGTAGATATTTGAATGAATGATAGGGTCTCAGTTTGTCTGAATGCTACCAGGTAGCATTTGCCATTGAATAAAAACCAAGCTTGTGTGTTTTGGTCTTGTTTTTGTGGCCTAATCTTTAGAAAGAAGTCTAAGGAAGTTATAAAGATGTAGTAAAAATACAGTCTTGGAATATATCATGTTTATATCCTATTTTCTTTTTTAAAAATGTACTTCTGATGTTCCAGTTTTATATGTATATGTGTGCGAATATATTTTTAATAAATGCTTTTCCCAATCCTCATTTAAAATTTGTTAATGAATAATTTGAGCTTTTAGATTGTTCAAATGAAAGTAGTTGATTTTATAGTTCATCTAATGAATTGTTAGCTATGTTATCAAATGTGACTTATAGCAGACTTACAGAAAGGTGGGATTCATCAGTGGTCCAAACCTCTGCCTTCCCTTCTGTATGAAACTGAGGCCGAAAGGGGTAAGGGAACTTGCCTGAAGTGATGCTGTCAGCAACAGAGTCCCCACTGGGTGCCAGTTCCCTTGACTCCTGTGCTAGTCCTGCCGTTTTACCTGACTGGTTCTTCATCCTGTCTGTTTGGTTTCTGATCAGTGCATAGAACATAGGAATATACCTAAGGAGTACAGCACAGCAGCACACATCTTGGTTGTTTGAAACTCTGAAGAGTGAACTGTCCAAGTAGCTAAGTTTTCAGGAAACTTATCTAGAGAGTAGGGGACTTTCCACTATAAGCAAACAAACTTCAAAAATATTTAATCGTAAAATTGTATTTCTAACTTATAAAAAAAACTCATATTCATTGGAGACAATTTGAAATCTGTAGAAAAGTAGAAAGGGTAGTTTAAAAATTATTTGTGGTTTCACTACATTCTAATATTTTTTCTCTTCAATCGTGTTTGTGCTCTTTTCAAATAGTATTTGGGATGGTACTATATGGGCAATTTTCCATGGAAAAATTAAAAACGAATATAAAAGATTCTTTCCTAATTATAAAACAATATAGGAGGTTCTTTATAGAATATTTGAAAAATACAGAAGAGTTTAAAGAAGAAAAGTAAAAATCTCCATTGAGGACTTGATTTAATTTGATATAACTTGATCTCACTTGATTTAACTTTAATGCCTGTTATAGGCAGTGTAGCCTTTTACTTATTTTGTAAAACTGAATTGATTTTAATGCTTTCAATCTTTAAAATAACTACAAATGTATTAAAATACTGGTTTTATCTTCTAGGTGTTTGGGCCACTAAACCAATTTTAAAAGGCAAAAAGTTTGGGCCATTTGTTGGTGATAAGAAAAAAAGATCTCAGGTCAAGAATAATGTATACATGTGGGAGGTAAGAAAGCATTGCGATCCTTTGTTTACCAGAATTCTGTAAGTTTTTTAAGAAGTCATTATCTTTTGTCTCAGGATTTGACATTTGGAAATGAAAAAACCAAAAACAAAAACTTTTTTTTAACATGTTCTTTTAAACCAAGATTATTTTTATTAGAAAGAAAATGCGTTTCCTTGGATATAGACTGCTGTTTACATATGCTTTTGCAGTTTGAAACTACTCAACAGTAAGTGTCAAGTGTACTTATTTTATTGCCTTGTTCAAGGTCTTGTGCTTTGCAGGTAAGACCTTGGCTTGCTGTGTGATGGTCTGTCACTTTGTAGGCTTCCAGATTTACACCAGAAAAGACACTCGTAGGTGGCTGCAAATAAAAGCATTAGGCTTATCTCTGTGTTTTAGAACACAATCTCTGTGTTGCTGGACTATTCAGGGTTGGATATATTTAGCACATAGCATATTTATATTGAGCTTTAAACTTTTCAAAAGGTTTTCATTCTATTAATTTCATGTTCTCACAGCAATCCCAGAAAACGGAACAGAGCATTATCACACTCCTTTTAGAGACAATGCAGCGAGGAACAGGGATGAACTGCTCCTCCTTGTGGAGGCTACATCTTGTGAGTGGTATGGAAGCCGAACTAGAACCATGTTTACTGACAGTGAGGCAGTGAAAAATGGCTTTACTGGGTTGCCTGGGTTCTAATCCTGCCTCCAGCTTTGTGACTTTGGACAGGTTGTTTAACCTTTGGGCTATAAAATCTTCAATTTAAAAATAGGGATGATAAAAAAAAACACCTCATTAGAGTAGTTGTGAAGATAAAATTTGTTGCTGTTGCTTTTGTTGTTTCCTGGAGAGTGCACGTGAAGTTAGCGCTTATGTTGAATTTAGTTCAAATCAGGTGCTACTTACATTCTTAAAGGAACTCCATTTTAAAGCGAGGGAAGTGTTTGGATGCTGAGGAAAAGCATTCCTATCAGATTGTCTTACATCGAAATGCATCTAATTTTCCAACATAAACATATTGTGGTTGTTAGATGCTGTCGAGTCGGTTCTGACTCATAGCGACTCCATGTACGACAGAATGAAATGCTGCCCCATCCTGTGTCATCCTCACTTCATTGCTGTGTTTGAGCCCATTGTTGCAGCCACTGTGTCAATCCATCTCATTGAGGGTCTTCCTCTTTTTTGCTGACTTCTACTTTACCAAGCATGATGTCCTTCTCCAGGGACTGGTCCCTCCTGATGACATGCTCAAAGTCTATGAGACGAAGTCTGGCCATCCTCACTTCTAGGGAACATTCTGGCTGTACTTCTTCCAAGACAGATTTGTTCGTTCTTCCGGCAGTCCGTGGTATATTCAGTATTTTTTGCCAACGCTGTGATTCAGATGTATCAGTTCTTCGGTCTTCCGAAGCGTAAAAATAAAATATGCCTAGGAAATATTTGGACAATTTCTATCAAGAAAGGTCTGTGGCAATTTGTATGTTTTGAGTATGTTGCTATTTCAATGGTATAAGCAGTGTTTTTTAACTAGAAAAATCCCATGGTTTCCCCCAACAATTTTGAGTTTCTTTATTTCCTGTGAGTCCCTTACAATGTATCTTCTGACAGTTAACCTAAGAGCGGTTAGGAAATGAGGATTTACCACAAGAAACATTGCATTATGCTATTTCATCATTTTTGAGATAAAAGAGCACCGTTATGTATTAAAAAAACTATCCAGCCAAAAAATGATATTAACTACTAAAGACAATGCCCACATGATTAAAAATGTCTTGACCACAAAATTATGCTTCAAAATAAATTGCATTTTGAATTTTAGAGGTTTCCAAGGGAAACTAACGGATATGCTCTGTCTAGGTTAGCTGTTAATTTAGTGAGGATAATGTCAGGGAACGAAAAATGCTATTAGTTTATTTCTGTGTGTAACTGTAAGCTTGAACAAATGCCATTAATATTAAATTTAGGTTAGTGATACCTGTTATATCCAATATAACAATTTGATATTGGTGGACATGTTGTATAAATTATGAATAGTGCCTTGTATAAATTAACCTTTATTTACATTGAAATTTGTACATGTTAGTAGCTTGTTGAAAAATTGTAATTTGGAACTATGACATATTAGGAACTTGATTTCTACTATAATCTTGTTAACATCTCATTGTTAATTTAAGATACATAACATTGCCAGTTCTCTTTAGTTAGGTTTAGAGATTTAGTTCTTTTCCAGGCTGACTTTTCCTTTCTGCAATTAAAAAATAATGTGGATCTTATTCAGATAGTTCAGACTATGAGGTATATATTAGATATAAAAACCTTTAAGCTTTTTGCTGTTAAACTATGTATGTGTGTGTGTGTATATGACATGTTTAAGTATGGATAGGTACATATGGCAAACTATAGGAAGCATGCATTGTAATGTAAATATTTCTTATAAAGAAGAAAATAAAAATCTAGGTAGAATTTCGTATTTTCTCATTAATTTATTCCACCCCTGGTCCTATCTTTAGACTTGCATCGTATGTTTCTTATTAGTGGAATGGAAACTGCTTATAACAAGAATCTCATCTTGGCCTTTGTTCTTCCATCAAAGCCCCTTAAGACCCGGTTATCTTTCAGCAGCCGGGTTTTATACCCCAGCTAGAGCTCCATTTTAAACCTAATCTAAGACAAAATGTTAAATTGCTTTTCTTGAGCCCTTGATTATCTAGCCAAGTCTTAAGTTCTCTAAACTTTCACTGAAAACGTTCTGCTAAATAAGAAATAACAGGAGAAAAATAGTAGCGTATCCTTAGGGTGAATGCATGGAACAGTCAGATTCTCAAGAGGAGAGCGTTTTTTATCAGTGTCTGGTGGGGAACTGCAAGCTAACTGAAACTCGGGATTTAATGTCACACTTCTCTTGACTGTCTCCATACACACTGAGCTGTCTGCAGTATTTTAAAACTGCTTCTGATAAATTCTTTTAAAATGCGCTTCTAGGAGGCTCAGATTGCTTCTAATGAGTAGAACTTTTGAATTGAGAATTATAATTTTTTTTATGCCTATAGTATTTTATTTTTTCTTAAATTGAGAATTATTTTAATAAGAAGTCTTTTTTAAAATTATCAAAGTAATATATGCTCATTGTAGAGAAATATAAACAATATGGAAAATATAAACAAAGTAAAAATTGTTGAAATTTCTACCACCCAGGATAACCAGTGTTAACATTTTGATGAACATTCTTTTCACTCTGCTTCTCTGCCACTGTATTTTTCTCCTGTCTCCCACACACTGCTACATATGCAAACACCATATATAGCAATTTTACACAAATAGAATCAGACAATATGTCCAGCTTCGTAACGTGCTTTTTTCTTTCAGTATGTTTTGGATATATCCATGTCAAATACTTATCTCCATCATTATTTCTTATGACTATCTACTATTCCACTGTATACCATCTTTGCTTTATTTAACCAGTGCCGTGTGTTGGACATTTAAATAGTTTTAATCTTTTCACGGTTAAAAACACTTCTTCAAAGTACAAAACTCACTGTGCATACATGTTTGCTGACTTGTTCGATTATCTTAAGATAAATTATTAGAAGTATAATTGTCAAATCAAAAAGTTATGTACATTTTAACCTTTGATACATTCTACTAAGCAAATCCTCCAGAAGGATTGTCCCATTTACATAACCACCAAGAGTGCATATTTCCTCCTGATCTTTTAAAGCTTGGGTATTGTTAATCTTTTTAGTAGGTTTTTTTTTTTTTTTAAATAGATGAAAACTGTTAGCTTACTGCTCCTGTTTACATTTTGTTCATTTAGGCAACAAATATATTTTGAGTTAGGAGGATGGGGTGAGGGAAGAAGTAGAGTTGTGTATCACATAAAATTGATAGAGAAATTGTCTATCAGTGAGAAGACTTTAATGTGATTTTTTTAAAGAAGTGAAAAAAATGATTTTTATCAGTCAGCACTATTATGTTATTAACTAGTAGCTTCCATAGACATTGCTATGTTAGTTTTTACTTCTAATTTCAAATTATTTCCAAGTTAAAATTGCAGTCCAGGATAAAAAGGAGAATGGCAAACTCAAACAGCCGATCCTGCAGAACCTTTATTCAGAAAGTACTGCTCAACTCTTACTGCCCTGCCCTTTTCTGCTTTCTAAACCATGCATCAAAGTAGCACCATAGGAAAAGGAAAAGATCTAGGTCACAGGTTGACAAAACTATGGTCCTCGGACCAAATCCTGCAGCCTACGTTGACTTGCCACCTGTGTTTTACGGTTCTAGAGCTAAGAATGATTTTACATTTTTAAGTGATTGAAAAAAAAAATCAAGAGGGTGATAATTCGTGATGTGAAAATTTTATGAAATTCAAAGTTTAGTGTCCAAAACGAAATTTTATTGGAGTACAGCTGTACTCATTCATTTATTATCTGTGGCTGCTTTTGCCTTAAAATGGCAGAGTTGAGTAGTTGTGACAGAGACTGTATGGCTTGCAAAACCAAAAATATTTGCTGTGTAGCCTTTACTGAAAAAGTTTGCCAAGCCCTGGTCTCTACATGTGGAGAAAAGAAGCAGTGGAAGTGAAAGTGGTGATATTTGGTGTTTTAGATTTACTGAGAATGTGAATGGTTGGTTAATAGCAATATACAGATTTTGGACTTGGTGCTTAAAAGTGGGATGGCCGTTGAGCTGGTTGTAATAGAAAATGCAGGGCAAGTTCCATTGTTCTTCTCTCACGTTCTTCAGCACAAATGAGATTGTTGAAGTGCAATTAACTGATCTTCCCAAATAAGTAGGAGTCCCTTAGTGGCACAAATGGTTAAATGCTCAGCTACTAACCAAAAAGTTGGTGGTTTGAAGCATTTTTTAATGAGATAGAGAAACAAATCACCAACTTCATATGGAAAGGAAAGAGGCCCCACATAAATAAAGCATTACTCAAGAAGAAGAACAAAGTGGGAGGCCTTACACTACCTGATTTTAGAACCTATTATACCGCCATGGTAATCAAAAGAGCCTGGTACTGTACAACAACAGATACATAGGCCAGTGGAACAGAGTTGAGAATCCAGACATAAGTTCATCCACCTATGAGCAGCTGATATTTGACAAAGGCCCAAAGTCCATTAATTGGGGAAAAGACAGTTTCTTTAACAAATGGTGCTGGCATAACTGGATATCCATCTGCAAAAACTGAAACAAGACCCACACCTCACACCACGCACAAAAACTAACTCACGATGGATTAAAGACTTAAATATAAAATCAAAAACGATAAAGATCATGGAAGAAAAAATAGGGACAACGCTAGGAGCCCTAATACATGGCATAAACACAATACGAACCATAAGTAACAATGCACAAGCACCAGAAGAGAGACTAGATAAATGGGAGTGCCTAAAAATCAAACACTTATGCTCATCAAAAGACTTCACCGAAAGA